TATACACACACACACATATACAATGTGTGTATATATATATATATATACATATATGTGTATGTGTGTGTATATATATATATATATACACATATATGTGTATGTGTGTGTGTGTTTGTGATGATTTCAACTCCCTGTCTCCGGCTGCTCTCTGCCAACAGCCATTGCTCTCGGATACGCCCACTTCTTCACTGCAGAGCGGAGATTTGACAGGTGCAGGAGGAAGCTGCTCCTGCACCCGTGGGCTGCACACAGGTGCAGCAGGTGCTAAATAATTTAAAAATATATATTTTAAATAAAAATTCCATGCCGATCATGCGGCTCATCCATCAAGCAGCCAGTTGTGTGTCATGTCCAATCTTACTTTGAAAAACCGTGATAGAGCGAGTCTGCGAAAAACGAATTGTGAAGTAGCGAGGGACTACTGTAGTGTAAAAGCTGCACCGATCTGTCTGTCAGTCTCACGCTCCATTTTACCCTCAAAACATTAACTGACCTAATTTATTTTTATATATTTTTTAAACTCTTACCCAGTCCAGGTCTTGACAATGGTTAATTTTGTCCTCGTGACTTTCATCCGTACAGCTGTTATCAGGTCCCATCCCTCCCCGTCTTTCCTGGCTGTCACTGGTCCTCGGAGTCCCACCGTCCGATGTGCTAACTCCACTATGGGGGGCTGTCCCATCACGGCTGCCTGTGCGACTCCCCGTTCTGCTTCCTGTGCTGAGGTCTGTCGGAGCTACGTACACTGCCCCAGACTCCATTGGGCCCACCACGGCCCCTTGGTTCTGGATGACCAGGGAGTGGTCTGGTTGGCCTCCTGGAATGCGGTATGCCAGCTCTGCCAAGCCCGGATCAAATGTCCCACCTGGTGTCCGGCGGAGAACAGGTAACGTATGGCTGCTGTAGCAAAGACGACCATAGAGGGGTCCACCTGCTCCTGAATAGTTGGGATCCACTCCGGGATTCTGAGCCCAGCTATACGTGCGAGACTTGTCTTGAACATGCTGGCTGTAACGACTGGAAACACAAAATGTCCATAAGTTGATTATAAGAGATCAATTCATTGTATCTCATCAGACAGGACACAACACTACTGCATACATCACGTTATACGATCGTCAACAAACTGTTTTATAGGAATCTATGGCCCAGAAAATCAACGACCTTGTTTTAACGTTGACCTTGGATTGTGACTTTGACCTTGAAGCAGGGTGATAAAAAGTGTACCTGACACTCCATCTAGTGATGATGCATAGGAGTATCAAGATTCTTTAAATTATCTTGAGCGGATCATGGGGGCCAAGATGGGGTAGAGGCAGGGCAGCGTCCTGGGACCAGAAAGTCCCAGGTTCAATCCCCAGTCATTGAACATCTCGTGGTGTCTCTGAGCAGCACACCCTATCCTCAAATGCTCCCCAGGCACCCTCAATAGCTGCCCACTGCTCCACCTGGTGGTGGATGGGTTAAATGCAGAAAGCCAATTTCACCATTGTATGGAAACATACAATGATGACAATACATAACACATTATTATTATTATTATTATTATTATTATTATTATTATTATCAGAAGTTATGGGCAGGACAAGAGAAAGTTTACAAACAGAGACGATAACTTGTCTGCCTTTTGAGAGGAGAATTAAAAAGAGTACAAAAGTTCAAGAAGTAATATCTTATTTGCTCTTGAAAAAAATCTGTAAACATATTTTGAAAAGAATAACAAACAACAATAATCAGAATAATGTCCTACATTTTGTAAGTACTGTATATGATACTTCCTTGTTAATGTTGAATTAAAATTTAACCTTTACATGCTGTTTTTGCGTATTCAATTTTATTTAAAACCTAATGAAAGAAGCACGAACCCAAGAATTAAAGTTAGTGTGACATTTGGCGATCAGCATCTCGGTGACGCTGGACCAACAAAAGTGAAACATTAAAAGTGTTGTTGCAGGGGTATTGCACTGGGTTGCATTAGACGCAGGAGGTTTTCACTGCCGTCATGTCCACCTTCAGAAAATTGAAAAAAGCAATTTTCCATAAACTACATGCAGCCTTTGTACTTGTTTATGACTGCTCCAAATGGCTCGCATGAATTCAGGAGTTAATTATTAGTCCAAAGGCAATAACCACATTGCACAGAAACATCAAAGTGGGAGCAAACAAGCTTCTGATGCTGCAGAGCATAAACGGGCTTTAACGAAACGGCCAGGACAAAGTGGTCTCTGAGGACCGCCAGGCTTGACTCTTCTGTTTGATCAGCCACGGATTATGACCTGCAAGTCGCAGCTTGACACCTTATTCAAGTGGATCCGTTCAGTTCTGGATGGGGATGAAAGCTTTCGCGCCAAAGGGGTAAATTTGTTTCTGTGTTAGCAAGAATTTGCCAGCTGCGTGCTTTGATGGAAGTAAACATGTAAACAAACTACTCACATGTTCCTGCTGTCCAGGGTGCGGTAGCCTCGCGAACGGGAGCTGTGCGGAGCACTCTGGAGCGCGGCGATATCAAAGGCCGCTGTGTCAGCCTCCCCTCCTCCCTCGTCGTCGTACGTGATGATGTTTTCTCGCACGTCGTCCTCCTCCAGCGGCGACAGGGAGTCGCGCTTCTGCCGGCGCAGCGACAGCGACAGGGCGCTCACCGCTGTCCATGGGAACAGAACCGAAGGATTTCCAGGCACAGGTGAGGAATGATGAACAATGGAGAAGAGGCAAATATCACAAGGGAAATAAAGGGAAGGAGGTTAAGGACAGAGTGAGTGAAAGAGACAAAGAGGTGAAACTCACAAAGACAAAGGGAATGGAGGAGAGGCCGCAGGTGAGCGGGCTGCTAAATCATATCAGCACGCTGCATGCCTCCACTCTGTAATTGACTTTGAGCTCCAGCTGAGCAAATAGATACTTTATCCTCTCAGGACTCCATGACTCCATTCTGTATTCCTAAATAAGGCAGTTCCATTTGACCTGGAGCTGTTTTAATGAGCAGCTCGTTGATACGTGTTCAGCTGCGGTCACATTTACCCACAGCGTCGGCTATGGTTTGTTGGAACAGTGTTGGACATTGAAGCATGAAGATGCTCTCCTCTGACTATGACCTCTGACCCTTGGTTTGTCTACCAGACTCACCATGAACTGTGTTCTATAAAGTTACTGTTGACTAGAATAATGTCTGATGTTTTCACACATTCACTGTTCTTGGACTCAGAGTCACCTACAGTCTGACTAATGTTTACCTTTTCTTTTATACTTTTAACAAAGAAGAACTAAATCATTAACGACATTTGTTTTTATTTGATTATAACAGGTGTGAACATGAATGGTGTTGATTATTGTTATCAATCATTATAATGAACTCGTGAAATATTATAATGTGTTTTAACAAACTCCTCTGTTCTGTTTTTCAGAAAATAACTTTTCCTTCAGAGACATGTGTGTGTTTGAGCATGAATCTACTTTGTATTTACAACAGAGGGTACTCATAATGTTCCAGAGTTCTCCAGAACTTCTGAGAGCTGATGGTTCACACCAAGTTTCTTTGTATTTGTCTGTTTTCCTCATCCTGATGTGTTCGTCTGATGTCCGTCTTCATTTATTCCTGATCAAAGAAACGTTTGCTCTGTTACAATTGTTGTTAGAAGCAGAGTTGAAGTTTCCGGTAACTACCGAAGATCAAGTGTTGTTTTTCTCACTATGAGGGTTAAAGTGTAAGCCAGCTGAAGGTTGCTGATCACCCTCACATCATCTGTCGTCCTCCCTGTCACTACCCGATCTGTTATGGAAGCACGATCCGTAGTGTTGCTCATTTGCGCATGCGCTAAAAGGAATACTTCCGGGTCGCAGGGATCGCCGTTGTATATGCTAGTTTAAGGAAAATGTATTGGAAATAATTACTTGATATTAATAAAATATATTTATGAAACATACCATATTTATTAATATCTTGATGCATGCTCAATAGTCCAGGTAGAAAAATCTAAAAAAGTTCAATCTGGTCTTCTGGACATGTCCAGAGGACCAGATTTAACTTTTTTTTTTTTAGACATATTTATTAATATTAATTAAAATGTCTTTCTATAAATTGATTAATTTTCCTAGACAATGTTATAATTCCGTTTATGAATAAGAACTGTCTTAATTTACTTGGAAAAGTACATGCTCTATCTCCGCCGATCTTCATGTTGCTAATTTACGCCACTCGTATTTCCGTTACAATCATTGACATATTTACGTCATGGTTAAAATGATATGCAGCTTCACCACTGAACAGCGCTGTCTCACAATGGAAATAATTCATTTTGTATCTTGCAGGGTTTTTCCTCATTCAGCCCAATGTGTCGCATATCATTTTAACCAATGACGTAAATATGTCAGTGATTTTAATGGAAATACGAGTGGCGTAAATTAGCAACAAGAAGATTGGCGGAGATAGAGCACATACTTTTCTAAGTAAATTAAGACAGTTCTTATTCATAAACAACGACGATCTGTGTGACCCGGAAGTATTCTTTTTAGCGCATGCACAAATGAGCAACACTACGGATCGTGCTTCCATAACAGATGACGCTCACCAACCCCTGAAACTCTCACATTGACTTTCAGCTACCATGGGCAGTTCCTGGCTAGTCCTCTCCTCGTGGTATATCCTGGTCTGATCTAGCAGCAAAACCCCAGAAAGATTAGTGAACCCAGCCCTCAACACTGACTCGGTAAGGAGTTGAAATCTGGTGACATGATGCAACTTTACAAATAATTTCCATCAGTTAAAATGGCTAATTTGTTCTGTGGTTTTAGGGGCTCAAAGTGACAATGTGCATATGCGTAATAGGAAGCATTATTTATGAACAGTTAAATTACTCAAAACCACACAGATTATTCAAAAGAAGAGTTTTAAAAATCTGTTTTGGTTTTGACCAAACACTCTGTACGTATGCTGAACTAAGGTGCAAACACAGAAGAAAATCTACAATTTTAAAAAAATCCAAAGCAGTGTTTTCTAAGAAGGTGTTTGTTGTTACAGGCATGCAAGTTAGCTATGAATGCTAACATAGCTACAGGAACATGTTTTAGTCGAGGGTTGAACATGTGTGCCTTTGGGCGGTGCACTAAAAATATCTAGTACAGTATACACAAAAATGTGCACTGGAAATATAAATGAACAAATTAAATTATGCCATTTTCACCCACAATGGGTTTTTTAAAAAAATCCATAAAAACAATTTCTAACAACTGGTTTGTATACCATTTTTTTAAATAACATTAACAAATCTTTTAAAAATGTAATAATTTGTAGCACTAATGAAACTTCTATTTAGTAATTCTTTATGTGTAAAAACATGCATGTCCTCTGTCATTATCAGAAGGTGCTGCAGTACCCTACACATCCCTGCTTACTTTAGTCTTGAATATTGACTTATTGATCTAATAAAAGAGGAACCCAAGTGGTGTTCTGTTGTTGGACTTCTGTGATAGTCATAGTGAGGGTTTGCTGGGAACGTGTGGCAGAAGAACTCATCAGAAATATCTAAAAAAGTTAAGTCAGGTCCTCTGGACGTTCAAAAAACAACTCACACCTCCAGGAGAACTTTAACTGCATCCCAGCTGAGGCAGGGGGCATTGAGTCCAAGTGGGCCATGTTCCACGCCTAAATTGTTGTAGTAGCTTCCTTGAGCTGTGGCAGTAAGGTTGTTGGTGCTTCTCGCAGTGGCCACCCTCGAACTCAGTGGGGACACCCTGGGTAATGGAAGCTACCAAGCTGAATAAGAATTCCTATCGGGCCTTGTTGGTTGGTGGGACTCTGGAGGGCTGAAGGGCCAAGTGGTATGCAGCCTTGGCTGATGCGGTGGCAAAAGCTCAGATGTGGGAGGAGTTCAATGTGGCCTTGGATAGAGACTCTCAGTTGGCTCTGAGGAGATTCTGGCAAACCATCAGGCAGCTGAGGAGGGGAAAGCAGCGTTTTACTAACACTGTTCAGTTAAGGTGGGGTGCTGTTGACCTCAACCAGTGATGTCATCAGGAGGTGGAAGGAATAATTCTCTGACCTTCTCAATCCCACCGACACATCTTCCATGGAGGAAGCTAAGTTTGGGGACTTTGGGCTTGGTCTGTCCATAACCATGGCTGAGGTCACCAAGGTAGTTAAAAAGCTTCACGGCAGCAGGGCTCTGGGGGTGGATGAGATTTGCCCTGATTTCCTTAAGACTCTGGATGTTGTGGGGCTGTCTTGGTTGATACAACTTTGTAACATTGTGTGGATATCTGGGGGGGGCAGTGCCACTGGATTGGCAGACTGGGATGGTGGTTCCCCTCTTCAAAAAGGGGGACCAGAGGGTGTGCTCCAGTTATAGGTGCATCACTCTCTTTAGCCTCGCTGGTAAGGTCTATTCAGGAATACTGGAGAAGCGAGTCAGATCGTGTGTCAAACCACAGAGCGAGAAGGAACAATGTGGGTTCTGTCCTGACCGTGGAATACTAGACCAACTATTTACCCTCACTAGGGTCCTTGAGGGGTCATGGGAGTTTGCCCATCTAGTCTACATGTTTTATGACCATGGAGAAGGCTTTTGACCGTGTTCCTTAAGGTACACTGTGGCGGGGGGGGGGGGGGGGGGGGGGGGGCTACACGAGGATGGGATTGGGGGCCCATTGCTATGGGCTGTTCAATCACTATACAAGTGGTGCGAGAGTTTGGTTTGCATTATTGGCTATAAGTCAGGCCCCTTCAGGTTGGGAGTAGGACTTCACAAGGGTTGCCCATTGTCACCAATTCTGCTCATAACGTTTATGGACAGAATTTCTTGGTGCAGCCGGGAGGTGGGGGGAGTCCAGTTCGATGGCCTTAGGATTCCATTTCTGCTATTTGTATATGACGTGGTCCTGTTGGCGTTATCATGCCATGATCTTCAGCTCTCACTGGAGTGGTTTGCAGCCGAGTGTGAAGCGCCTGGAATGAGAATCAGCACCTCCAAATCTGAGGTCATGGTGCTCAGTCGGAAAAGGGTGGGTTGCTCTCTTCGGGTCAAGGGTGTGGTTCTGCCTCAAGTGGAGGAGTTTAAGTATTTTGGGTTTTGTTCACTAGTGAGGGAAGAATGAAGTGTGAGATTGACAGATGGATTGGTGCAGCATCTGCAGTTGCGGACTCTGTGTCAGTCCGTTGTGGTGAAGAGGGACTGAGCTGTAAGGCAAAGCTCTCTGTTTGCCTTACAATAAGACAGGTCAGTCTCTGTTCCTACTCTCACCTATGTTCACGAGCTGTGGGTAGTGACCGAAAGAATGAGATCCCGAATACAGGTGGTTGAAATGAGTTTCCTCTGCAGGGTAGCTGGACTCTCCCTTAGAGATAGGGTGAGAAGTTCAGTTGTCAGGAGAGACTCTGAGTAGAACCTCTACTTCTCCACATTGAGAGGAGCCAATTGAGGTGGTTTGAGCATCTGGTAAGGATGCTCCCTGGGTGCCTCCCTAGGGAGGTGTACAGGGCATATCTGACTGGGAGGAGACACCGAGGAAGACCCAGGACACGTTGGATGTCTCTCGGATGGCCTGAGAACACCCTGGAATCCTTCCAGAAGAGCTGAAAGAGGTGGCTTTGGAATGAGATGTCTGGGCCTCCCTGCTCAAGCTGCTGCCCCTGAGACCCGACTTAGAAACAAGTGGAAGATGATGGATGGATGGATGGATGGGTAATAAAAGAGCTGCACACCCATCATTTTTTATTCCCTTTGATCTAACCCAGGTACACCTCCTATCTGTGCAACTGTTAAAAGTATTCAGAAATCTTCAAACTTTGACAGGGCAGATGTGCTTTAGTTTTATTTTGAATGATTTTGAATGAGACAATCAGTTTGCAGGAGGGGGTCTCAATATCCTAAATTCTTATATATGCCTTTGTGTGTATCTTCTATGGTTAAGCTGCTGTAGTAACTTAATCTGCAGTCATGATATTGTTAGAGAACATTTTATTAGATTTTAAAGAGCATAATCCAATGATTTATGAAAAGAAGAGGGACGTGTGTGGGATCATCTTCATGTCACATTCTCACCCAAACAAAGCCTGCATGCAGGCTCAGGAGGTTATCAGGTGTTCGTGAAAGCTGAGCTCCTGTTTAATAAGCAAACAGAACCAGGATGAAGTTATTGTCATGTGGGAATGTTCAGCGCGTTTTGGAAGGTCAGCTTGTGCTGCTTTGTAGCGCTGTTCTACAGAAGTGTTTCACACTTCTTGCAGTATCCTGTGACAGAGGGATCAAAGTCCATCACCCTGTCAAAGGTAGTGGATCACCTTCACGCCGTGCTCCATTTCTGTGTGATGACTGAGCTAACGTCCTCCAGAAGGATAATGACTTTATCAACAAGGCATGAGTAGTGATCCTACAAAAATGACAGCCACGATGGCAACGAGCCAAGCCTCCTCAGCAACGCAGCGCATTGCAACTGAGCATTTCCAAAATGGTGACAATGACATTTGATTAGGCTGCCATCAAAACGCAGAGAACTCAGATAATTGCCCGATAATGTTATTTCAGCAGTGTTCAGAGCCGACCTTGCCAGAGGAAACAACTGGGCGAACATGGACTGAAAATCAAACCCAGTTAAGAGAAATATTTACGCTGCAGCTCTCGATGTTTCCAGATGCAGATTGGAGATCCAGGGAGTTGTAATGGCAAGTAAACAGCTCTAAACACTAACCCAATCAGCTCTTTAATTTGTTGATTAGCATTAAAATGCTCTGTGGGCATGAAATTATATCACTTTACTGTAAGTAGAACAGCAGCAAGGTGGCGCAGTTGGTAGAGCTGCTGCCTCTCAATGAACAGGTTACCCTGGTTCAAATCCCGGTCCGGGGCCTTTCTGGATAGAGTTTTCATGTTCTCTCTGTGCTGTGTGGGTTTTCTCTGGTTTCATTCCACAGACCAAAAACATGCACGTTATTCTGATTGGTAACTCAAAATTGTCCCTAGGTAAGAGAGTGAATGGTTGTTTGTCTTGTTTGTCTCTATGTGTCCCTGTAATGGACTGGAGACCTGTCCAGGGTGTCCCCTGCCTCTTGCACAGTGATAAATGGACATGGGCACCAGTGACGCAAAAAGGAAGAAACGGGTAAAAGATAACGGATGGATGGATGTAAGTAGAACAACCGGAGCTGGAGTGTAAGTATCAGGGAAGTTAGACTAGTACAGGTTTTAAAGGACAAAATATTCATTTTATTATTACCTGCGGTGGAAAACAGGGCATTTATTTTTAAGGATGAGTCTGTCTGTGTGTTTGTCTGTCTGTTAGTAAAATATCTCATAACTTACTGAAGTGATTTTAATGAGACTCTCAGAAAGTAATTATTAGAATTACTGTACATCTACAGCTGATCAACTTTGAGACCCAGTCCAATTCAAGATGGCCACTGCAGCTGATTGAGATTAGCCAACATAAAACAGGATGTATTTCAGTCATTTTGACTCATGTTGAGCTAAAACTTGATTTGATTGTAGCCGAGTCGTTTACAACATATTCTGTGCATGACATCTGGCAAAATCACGAGACAAACAACATTCTTTTCACAGTTTACAGATCACAGCTCAACATTAAATTATTTTAATCTAAGGTCGTGTTGATACAACGTTTTATGAGTGAAACTGGAGCTTTTCTGCTGAGGTTCAACTGTTTGTCTGTACAACAGCTCTCGTTCTCTCTGAAACCAAAGTTTTCTAAACCCTGGTCTCAGGAGGTTTTTGGGGAACCCCACATGGAGCTGTAAAATACTCTGCAGGTGTTAAGTCGCACATTCGCCCCAATAAACATAGAAAAAACACTGTTTTTGTGTCGTTTTTGTGTTGTTTTTGTGTTGACAGGGCCTAAAATCCTTCAGTGATGTATTCTTTATATTTAACTTGGGGGGGGGGGGGGGGGCAGAATATCAGAATAAAATGTGCAGTGTCATATAAACGTGTTGTATGTAACACAGTACCGTACTTGCTGCCGTACATGTCACACCGCCATATAAGTAGCATCAGTCCAAATATGTCTAATAAAGTGGAACAAAACATAAATACGTCGCTTCGCCGTATAAGTCGCATCTATTACGCGTCACCGCTGACCACCTGGAAACGCGAGCCGGTGTTGTGCCAAAAATCGATTGGCTGCCAAATGGCGGCCAAGGGAGCGCGCACGGGAGGACTTAAACAAAAATTTAACAAGATTAACACTTAAAAACAATTATTTGTTTGCTCGAAATTATAGAAAAGGTGTGTCTCCGTTTAAGTTTTCCTTAATAAATGCACTTCTGCAGCCGCGAATCGATTTTTGAAATGCAGCTGATTTGACTGTCGGAGTGTGCAGAGGGAGGAATCGCTGTGCATTTCTTTAAAATTGAACAAGATAACCACCTATAAACAATTATTTGTTTGCTTGACATTATAGCAAAGGTGTGTCTCAGTCTTTTCTTTAATAAATGCACTTTAATGGTCAAATCAGCTGCATTTTGCCTGGGCGGCGCAGCATAACGCAGCTGATTTGACATTTGTTCCTGGAGTTGTGGAGCAAGACGAATGTGGCTGCTATGGCAAGTCAAGTGTCTCATTGATAGCCACTTTTACCTATTAATGAGACACTTGGCTTGCCATATTAGTTGAGTGCCCTCTAGTGGCTGAAAATGATAGTGTTCAATATTTTCCATTTCAAAATGAATGAAACTGTCAGCTCTCAGCCAAAAATTAGGTTATAAATATGGACCAAAAAAACATATATTAGTAGCTTCAGTGTAAATTTATGCAAAAAGGTGCAACTTATATGGTGAAAAATACGGTACTTACCCAGCAGTGTAGCGACACAGGCCAAGATGGCCAGCAGGGCGGCAGTGCTGAGTCCAGGGGAAGGCAGCATGGACTGCTGGGGGAGACACACTGCCTCCTTTTCCCAGTCCCACTCTCCCTCCGTCTGCTTCTCATTCTCTTTGTCCCCGGCTCGGGCTCCCCCCTTTAAGCAGGGACAGACAGACACGGTGACCGTCCCTGTGCTGGTGAGGCCCGACGTCCCGTCCCTCAGGACAAGTGGCACAAACAGTGTCAGAGTGGAGGAAGAAGAGCGGGACAGGGGCTGGAGCTGGGACAGCAGCACCAGGCTGGCTGTGGGGCCTGAAGGAAGAACAGAGAAGAAGACACTTCGTATTACCAGCTGCTAACTGCATCCTGCAGCTTCTCATTTTCTGTGCTGAATCATAGCAGGAGGTGATGGTCTGACCCAAAATCCCAACTCTCATGTTTTCAGTTCCTTTAATCCTCGTCAGCTGCTGACTGGTTTGTACCACTCATGGGAAGTGAAGCAGGACGGGTTGAACTTTGCTTATTTCAGCCTCCCCTGGCATGCTTTGGCATTTTGTTTAACACTGCATATATTCTGAGAATGCTTCCCAGCAGTGGAGCCCCCCTCCCCCCACACAAGTTTGTCTTTCTATATTTACGGTGTCTTTGCATTGATTTCCATTCATTTTTCATTTATTTAAATAGCCTAACTTTAAACCTAACCATTACCAGTACATACATAACCCTAAACCTAACCCCTCACCCACCAACGACACTTCTTATGTGGCCAGGGCTTAGGGCTCCTTAAGGAGCAGTCGGTCCTCACAGTGTAGTATAAGTTGGAAAGATGGGTCTTACAAGGTAACAGATACAAACACACACACACACACACACACACACACACACACACACACACACACACTATGACACTTACTGAAGACAAACTTCAGCCTGTATGGCTCTAAACTAGGTCAAAGTTTAAACACAAAATTAAAGACAGATATAATTCTCAAGACAATATCTTATAAATGTGATGACAATATTTTTGCCTTTGTATGTGCATTTATAAATATATATATATATATACAGTATACTGTATATCAAGTTCAAGTCAAGCTTATTGTCATTCACATCACATGTGGTACATGAGGTCAAATGAAATTGTGTACACGGAATCCCAGTTACAACAAAAAATAACAAAAATATAAAATGTAAGAGCCATATTAATAAAATAAGTAATTGATGGCTTGACAGGTGAGCATGCAGCTTTGACACTTGGGTGGTGGGTGTGTCAGTGTGTGTGTGTTGACTGTCACCAGATATAAATGACGTTCTGACTGGCGTTCTGGTTTTTGTATGGATAAGGAAGTTGGGTGCGCCCGGGGTCGTCATATTTTCTGTTGACCGTGTTATAAGACGCCGTAGAGTTATGCCATTAAGCATTTATCAAAGTTTAGACCTGGTCAGTATGTGTCTCAGTCTGTAATGTTTAAAGCATGGAAATGTGAAACGGAATAAACCGATCATGACACAAAGAAGTGACCTGGAGTGACGTCAGTTTGGAAACACGCGTCGGACAGAGATTCCCGAGTTTAACCCAGTGCGGCCCTCAATATCATGTTTGCTGTGAAATTATAAAGTATAAGAAGAAACAGTAAATTAGGATCTAAGATATACGCTAAATGTACGTCAAGAAATACGCTACAAGATCTAGGAACCCCCCCCAAAAGGAAAATAAAGCATGTTGTATCATATCATATTGTTATATTTTGTACAGAATAAAATAGAATATAAATGTTTTCATGATAGAAACACATCCTAATTCTGCATATCCTTATTATACAGTATTTCCAAATAATTTGATACATATTTATTATGACAGGCTCGCATGCAAACCCTTTCCAAGTCAAAGCGCAATTTTTTAAAATCTATTTATTGGACTGTCTTGGGTTTTGTACTGAATGCCTGAATGTAATTGTTTCTTTTTTCCTTTTTGAAATAGATGTTGTAACCCACAATGCAAGGCCACAGATGAAAGAGCACATGGAGCTGTTTCATTAGAATGAATGGCGCCGCAAAAAGACTGTTCCAACATGACCAACATGACAAGAGTGATTTCCAAAAATGTTTCTGTGATCCAAATCACAGATCAAGCCATTATCTTGTGGAACAAAGAAAACAATGAAGCATATTTTGGTGACAAGCTGTCCATGTGGAGCAGAACATGATCTTATTGTTCCTCTCTTCTGCTGTTGGATGGCACATCAAAGAGAACTTTGAAACCACATGTCAGCGAGTGAACCATCCTGATCCACCATCAATCTGCTCTCACTGAGCTTTTCAAAAGGGGGAGGGATATTTCTCTGAAGCTCAGATCCTTCAGAAAAGCTGCACACATTTGAAGATACTTCAGAGCACAAGAATCATTAGTCCAAGTTCTGCTGTCCACAGCCGAAGGGTAAATTAAGTACAAACTACCTCCCAGCGTTGTGGCTCCTTTCAGTACTCAGGACCACTCCAGACTTTCAGCAGCCCAACAGGTTTACTGTTGGGAGGGGTTCAAACTTTGACAGAAGCTGGGAAATTTAGCAGCCATTTAACAATTTCCTGCTGGAGATGACAGAGTTCAGAGCAAAGCTGAACAAACCCATGTCCACCATCGCTGAGAGGTTTGAAAAGTGAATGTTTGTAGTTATGGAGATGAGTGTTTTTATGGACTGGAATTAAACCTTAATGTTTTTGATACAAGATATTCAAGTGGAGGAGTTGAGAAGAACAGAGGGAAGTTTTTTTTTTTTTGTCCAAGGTAACGCAGAGTGACGGATCCTGAAGAGTGCAGGGAGACATTTTATCCACCACCAGATGCAATGGTGTAGCCAGAGGGTGGGGGGCAGAGTAGAATGCTCTTTGGACACCCCGATCATTTGACATTTGAGGAAACTATACTTTTAAGCAAAATTTTCCTTTTGGCTGCTTCCTTATTCAGGGGTCACCACAGTGAACTAAGTCACACGAAGATTTGGCAATTGTTTGACTACTTTAATTATTATACTTTTCAGCAAAATAAAAACTAGAAATCATAGTTTCCTGTTAATCCCTGCAGGTCTTACCTTCCATTAGAGCCTCACTGGTAACTGCATGTTAAAGAGTTCAGGAGTTACAGCTTTATGATGCTGGTGTCCAACAGTGTGGACATGTTGGACACCACATGGACACTTTGAAATATGAATGGACATACTCTCATAAAATATGTCTTGAACTATCATTTTTGGTGCTATTGTTACCAAATTGGAACTGGTAATGAATAAAGCTTGATGTTGCAGCCTCATAATTTTCCAGTCCACAGTAAACATAAAAAATTTCAGATAAGGAAAAAACAAGATTTTTGTTTGTTTCAGCTTAAACAAATATTAAATGGACTCTACTTATATAGCTCCTGTCTGTCAAATCAAGATACTCAAAATGCTTTACAACACAATCTGTGCCCTGATTTTCCTCCACACACATTCATACAGCACTCTACTACATTCATACAGCACTCTACTGCACACACATTCATACAGCACTCTACTACATTCATACAGCACTCTACTGCACACACATTCATACAGCACTCTACTACTTTCATACAGCACCCTAATACATTCATACAGCACTCTACTACATTCATA